GATCCCATCAATCCCAGCGCAAGCTCGGGCGACGCCGTGTCCGCGACTCGTCCCCGCGTCAACCACAGTATCACCATCGCAACGCCGCTGGGCCTCGTCTAGCAAGGCAGAGACCCTCTCGCGGACACCACTCTACGAGATTCACCAGGCCGCCGGGGCCAAGCTGGTGCCCTTCGCGGGCTTCGCCATGCCCCTCGAGTACCCCGGCCAGAGCCACCAAGAATCCCACCACTGGACCAGGAACAGCGCCTCCCTCTTCGATGTGTCGCACATGGTCCAGCACCGTCTCTCCGGGCCCCTTGCCGAGACGCTGCTCATGACCGTCACGCCCTCGTCCATTGACGCACTTGCGCCGCAGACGTCGAGCCTCTCGACGCTTCTCAATGAGAACGGCGGCATCGTCGACGACACGGTCATCACTCGCACCGGACCTGATTCCTTCTACTTCGTCACCAACGCGGCATGCAGGGACGGCGACCTGGCTTTCCTCCGCGCCGCCATTGACAAGCTGCTCGACGGGCGGCCGGCCGAGGGCCAGATTCAGTGGGACATCCTGGAGCACCACGGCCTCCTGGCTCTCCAGGGGCCCAAGGCCGCCGAGGTTCTCCAGCCGCTGGTAGCCGCCACGGGCAACGGCGATGAGGACCTCTCGACCCTCTACTTCGGCCAGTCGCGACAGCTCAGCCTGCGTCTCGGCAGTGGCCCCGGCGAGCTGTCTCCTCCTCTGCTCATTTCCCGGACTGGATACACGGGCGAGGACGGCTTCGAGATTTCCATCCCGGCCACCGACGCCGAGTCGTCTCGTGAAGCCTCCTCCGCTGTCGCGCGCCTCCTCCTCGGCGACGGCTCCGTCGTCCGTTGGGCCGGCCTCGCTGCGCGTGACTCCCTGCGTCTCGAGGCGGGAATGTGCCTTTACGGCCACGATATCAATGAGACTACCACCCCGGGAATGGGCGGCCTGGGCTGGGTGGTTGGCAAGGCGAGACGGGCGGCCGACGCCCCTGGCCCGCAGTTCAACGGCCAGTCGGCGGTGCTGGCGCACCTCGAGAAGCCCGGCAGCATGCCCGAGCGCCGCGTCGGGTTCCTCGTCGACAAGGGCCCGGTGGCGCGCGAGGGTGCCCCGATTCTCGACATCGAGAGCGGCGAGACGATCGGCAGGATCACCAGCGGGTGCCCGTCGCCGTCGCTGGCGGGGCAGAACATTGCCATGGGCATGATCAAGACGGGATCGCACAAGCGGGGGACGCAGGTCGCTATCAAGGTGCGCAGCAAGACGGTCAAGGCGCAAGTCGCCAAGCTGCCGTTTATCGAGAGCCGCTTCCACAGGCCATCTTGAGGAGATGTACAACTACAACTAGCCAGCGCTCAATCATGTTCAAATTTTCAAGTATCTTCGGCTTAAACCTATTCAACTCGACTACCATTGAACCCCGCAGGTTTGAGTGTTGTCGTGGGGACGGAGACCTTGACCGAGCCACCGTCGGGTCCGGTCCGACAACCGGCGGAGGGCGGTTAAGTGCCGTGCAAGGGCGCGGCTCGCCCAGCAGCGCGCTTTGTACCGGCGGGACAGGGGCCGAGGCCGCTGTGGCCCTGCAGCTTGGTGGCGAGTGACTCGAATGCTCTTCATCTTCATGCCTTCGCGTCTTGGATTCCTTCACTGACCATTGCATCCTGCATTCAGCTTTCTCTTTCTTCTACGCAGTGTATCATTAGCCATGCTGTACCGACGGGGAGCAAGCAGCCTCAGGGCAACCCTTCAGACATGCCGACAGCAATCAGCGGCGCCGTGCCGCCGGCTGGCGACAACACAGGGCTTGAGGGCAGACACAGATGTAGGTGCCCTCAATCCGAAAGGAAACACCAGCTAACTCCCTTGCAGTACCTGGGTGCCTCCATCAAGGATAGCGACCCTCAGATCAGCGGCATTCTCAACAGAGCAAGTGTCCGACCTCGGCAGTGTTCTTCACCCTCATCTAACAGGTTTGCAGGAAGAGACCCGACAGCGCCACTTCATCAACCTCATCCCGTCAGAGAACTTTACCTCAAAGGCAGTTCTCGAGGCCCTGGGCAGCGTCATGCAGAACAAGTACTCAGAGGGCTACCCAGGCGCACGGTACTACGGCGGTAATGAGCACATCGATGAGGCTGAGAGGCTTTGCCAGCAGCGGGCGCTTGATGTGTTCAAGCTGGATCCCGAGCTCTGGGGAGTCAACGTGCAGCGTGAGCGAAATCCAGCATCGACAGTTCCGAGAACAAAGCTGACCATTTTTCAGCGCTGTCCGGATCCCCGGCCAACCTCATGGCCTACTCGGCCCTCCTCAACACCCACGACCGCATCATGGGTCTTGACCTGCCTCACGGCGGCCACCTGTCCCACGGCTACCAGACCCCTACCAAGAAGATCTCAATGATCTCAAAGTACTTCGAGACACTCCCGTACCATCTGGACCCGAAGACCGGCATCATCGACTACGCTAAGCTCCGCGAGTCCGCCCTCGTGTACCGGCCCAAGCTCATCATCGCCGGCACGTCAGCCTACTCTCGACTCATCGACTACGCGGAGATGCGTAGCATCGCTGACCAGACGGGCGCCTACCTCCTCTCCGACATGGCGCACATCTCAGGCCTCGTGGCCGCCGGCGTGGTCCCCTCGCCCTTCGATCACTCCGACGTCGTCACCACGACGACGCACAAGTCCCTCCGCGGTCCTCGCGGCGCTATGATCTTCTTCCGCAAGGGCGTCCGCTCCACCGACAAGAAGGGCAAGGCCGTCCCCTACGATCTTGAGGGCCCGATCAACGCCTCCGTCTTCCCCGGCCACCAGGGCGGACCTCACAACCACACTATCACAGCTCTGGCCGTCGCACTCGGCCAGGCCTCCTCCCCACAGTTCAGGACCTACCAGGAGCGCGTCCTGTCCAACGCCCAGGCCTTCGCACGCCGCCTCGCTGACGGTCTCGGCTACACCCTTGTCTCAGGCGGCACAGACAACCACCTCCTCCTGGTGGACCTCAAGGCCAAGGGCCTCGACGGCGCGCGCGTCGAGCGCGTCCTGGAGCTCTGCGGCGTCGCGAGCAACAAGAACACCGTGCCGGGTGACACCTCGGCGCTCAAACCCGGCGGTCTCCGCGTCGGCACCCCCGCCATGACCACGCGCGGCTTCAGGGAGCACGATTTCGAGCGCGTGGCCGACATTCTCGACCGCGCCGTCGGCATCACGGCGAGCATCGATAAGCAGGCGCGGGAAGCGGCGGCGGGGCAGGGCGTCAAGAACCCCGGCTCGGTGCGCGCGTTCCTCGGACACCTGGGCGACGGCGCCGCCGTGCCAGAGATAGCGGCGCTGCGGGAGGAGGTCGCGGATTGGGTCGGCGAGTTCCCGGAGCCGTGGATCGTGCCCCGGGAGGGTGTGTAGGATCTTTTGTTGATTGCCAGCTTGCCAGCCGTTGGAAAATGGGAAAGCTCATCTGCCACGTATCACGACCCCCCTGCCCTGTGACCGGTCACGCCGAAGCGCCACCGAACTTCTGGAAGTTGACATCGTCAGATACGGACCTTTGCTTACCGCGGCTCAGGTCATCTCTCGCTCCACTGCATCTATTTCCCTGATATCGCTGTCCGTTCGGCGTCGCAAGCCACAGACGTCCTGATACAGCATCATCGCGTCATCCCGGACAGGGATCCCACGCCGCCGAGGACGCATCCGCGCAGGGGGCTTATCGCAGATGGTGGTGTCTGGCAGTTGGGGCGGACCGCGGCAGCTTCCCCCTCCTTGGCAGGGCGTTGACAAGCTTCTTGATGCGGCGCCCGGGGGGAGGGCACACACATTCGGTAAACAGGGCCAATTAGCACCTTTGCCGCGCTGTGAGGTAGGCCAGATCAGGGCAGTGGCTGCCACTGAGAGCTCTGAGATGGAGGGGGTCCAAACGCCTGTTCGCCGGCACTTCGTGGCGTAGCATGACAGCACCATGCATGGAAACGTCGCATGTCGCAGGGAGGACGGCGTTCGGCGTGCGTCGCCGTGTCTCGGGCGCGCTTCGATGAACGGGATGGCATGTCAGGACAGCCGCGCTCGTCGAGAGGGATCCCGTGACGCCGGCGCGGATCGCGGCTTTGATGGGCACTGCGACATGAACGCGTGTCGCTGTGATATCGGGCATCGTTGTCCGTCGAGACGAGGTGTGTTGGGGTATAACCCGCCGGGAAGCCGAGTATCGCGTGTTTCCCCCTGGTGAAGCATCATTCCATCCCTCCTCGCAGCTTGTATCATGGCGTCTCTCCTTATCAGATCGACCCTTCGGGTGGCCCCGCGCCGGGCGGCGTTGGCACTGGCTCCCCGTGTCAGCAGCACCCCTGTGCTCCAGACGAGGGCCTTCTCGCTGACTTCACTGCGTGAGTTTTGATCGGATGCTTGAGCTGCCAGGGGCAGACAGCTGACGGCAATTGCCATTTAGGCTTCGTGAAGAAGTACACCGAAAGCCACGAATGGATCGAAGTCGCCGAGGACGGCAAGACATGTAAGGCAGCTCCATACCCGGCGAGCAGGCAGCAATTGACAGACTTCAGGCACCGTGGGCATCTCAAAGTACGCCGCCGAAGCGCTCGGCGATGTTGTCTACATTGAGCTCCCCGCAGAAGGCGACGAAGCCACAACCGGTGAGGCTTTCGGCACCGTTGAATCGGTCAAGTCGGCGTCGGACATTATCAGCCCAGTGTCGGGAATCATCACTGCCGTCAACGAGGCTCTGGCCGAGAAGCCGGCAGACCTGTCCAAGGACCCGGAGGCGAGCGGCTGGCTGGTGAAGATGGAGAGCACGGACGTGAGTGCTGCGGATGCGCTGATGGATGAGAAGGCGTATGTGGAGTACCTCGAGGGACTGTAGACAGGCTCCATGAATTCAAATAATGAGGAATTGGCCAAGCATGCTTCTTTCGGAATTGTGATGCAGTGCGCTTCAAAAAGTGAGGGCTACATCTGGTGATATGTGGCAAAAGGTCAAAAATGGACGAACCGCGATTTGAACACGGGACCTTCCGCAAGCTGGAGGATGCAAAGCGGACGCGCTAAACCGCTGCGCCACACGCCCATTGGATGATGATTGGAACGCATCGTGGGATTATCATTTGACTCGAACACATGGATTTGTTGTTTTCCTCCAGACTTCAGATGTCCGGGAGCAAGGTATTGATGGTTTTCAGGAGCGAAGACTGCAAAGTCATTGAATATCTGCTTCGAGTGGACATAGCATGCGGCGGCCATTTCTCGCGTGCTGCAGCTCGAGACACGGTTCTCGACAATGTGTTTCCACACCCAACCTGGAAGTTTTGCTACACCACCTCTCCCAATGCCGTCTGGAGTCATCAGTCGTGGCTCTTCAAGTCGCCTCGTAATTACCAGGATTATCAATCAATTCATAAGATACGTCTCTGGCCAAGTAAATAGCCCTGAGATAAAACTCCCAATGTCGTGAACGGTCTGTCTGCAGGCTGGTAGCATCTGCTTTTCATACCTGGGTAAGGTTTCAACCACGGACAGATGTAGATGTGGTGAAGTTCCTCACACGAGGAAAGCTGAACCCCCTCGCTGAAATACAGCGTGTTAGTCTCGCTGAGTTCTAAGTCCCAGGCCTGTTCCAACTTCTAAGCTGTAGCTGGGACAAGCTTCCTACATCGATCCATGAGTCTGGGCCTCTTCCACCTTTCCTCTCGAGCATCCTGCCCGCCAACCAAGTCGTTGCCTCCCCCCCGAGCCTTCCCCGAGCCTCAAACTGGCCACATCTGCACGATAAACTGGGCCCGTGGCTGCACAAACACGTGAATGACAGCATCTTACCCCGGATTCATCATCCAGGATCAGCCAAGCGCAATGCCCTTCCTGAGACCTGCTATCTGCCCTCGTCTCCACAAGTCGAGCTCCGAGCTGGTCAGGAGGGGTGATGCGAGTCAGAAGGGGAGGCCCAGGCCGTCCTAGCAAGGTGGCAAGGGGGGTGCTATCTCGGCCGTGCCCATACCGCGGCAACGCCGATGATTGGCGACCACCGACGCGGCTTCAGTCTATCGTTCGCCGGCGAGGGTCAAGCCATTAGCAATGGAAACCTACTGGAAGTTGACCCCTGCCGGAGCCGTATCACCGTTCCCACCCAGCGGGCTCTGCGGGCCTCACAGGTCCCTGCTATCAGCTGCCTGTGCTACCCCGCGTCGATTCAGCTCGCTAGGTCCACAGCAGTCTGGGGGAGGCTTATCAAAGGGGGTGTCGTGTCCCGGGCGAAGAGATTAGGGTGCCCGGCCATGCCGACCGGTCGCTGAAACGTCAACTTCTTCCCAGAAAACATTAAAACACCGCAGGGCGTCCTGCACTGGAATCCTTCGCGTCGCCCCCTGGTACCCTTTTCCCATCGCGGGCTATTCGATCTCCGACTACCAGGCGACCCGAGCTTTTTACCCTTTTCGGTTCATCGCCTTGCGACAAAGCTCGACCTCGCTTGCAAAGAGGCGGCAAATTTTGCATTCCGTCATCACAGGCCCCCGAGCCTTCGCCCTCGCCCTCACATCGAACCCCGGAGTCGCAAACCGCCGCCATCATGCCGTCCGCACAGGAGACGGATAAGCACCTCGAGCGTCTCGGCTACCAGGCCGAGATGCCGCGGAATCTCAGCATGATCAGCATCCTCGGCTTGTCCTTCGCTATCATGGCCGTGCCTTTTGGCTTGTCGACGACAATGTACATCACCCTCACAAACGGTCAAGCAGTATCCATCATCTGGGGCTGGGTCCTGGTTTCGCTGCTCTCTCTCTGTATCGCTGCCTCCCTGGCTGAGATCTGCGGCGTGTTCCCCGTCTCGGGAGGTGTCTACTATTGGTCTGCAATGCTGTGCACGAAGAAGTACGCTCCCATCGTCAGCTTCATCGACGGCTGGATGACGCTCGTGGGCAACTGGACAGTGACGCTCAGCATCAACTTCTCCGGTGCCCAGCTCATTCTCAGCGCAATCTCCATCTTCAATCCCGACTATGTTGCGAACCAGTGGCAGACGATCCTCTGCTTCTGGGCCGTCATGCTCATCTGCGCCCTCATCAACATCTTCTTCTCGAGGCATCTCAACATGATCAACACCATCTGCATCTGGTGGACCGGCGCAGGTGTCATCATTATCCTCGTTACGCTTCTGGCGACTGCTCATGAGGGCAGGAGGTCGGCCGACTTTGTCTTCACCCACTACGACGCATCTGCCAGCGGCTGGCCCGAAGCCTGGTCCTTCTTTGTCGGACTTCTCCAGGGTATGCATCTTGTCACCCCCCTTTGATGGAAATTCCACTGACTTTATCCAGCTTCCTACGTCCTGACGGGCTACGGCATGGTTCCCAGCCTGTGCGAGGAGGTGAACAACCCGGAGCGCGAGGTTCCCCGCGCCATCGTCCTGTCGGTGGCTGCTGCCGGCCTCACTGGTATCGTCTACCTGCTCCCGATCCTCTTCGTCCTTCCCGATGTTCAGATGCTGCTGGGTGTGGCCAACGGACAGCCCATCGGCCTGCTGTTCCAGACCGTCACCAACTCCAAGGCCGGTGGCTTCGGTCTCCTCCTGATCATCCTCGGCATCCTCTTCTTCGCTGGTACCGGTGCCCTCACCGCTGCCTCGCGTTGCACGTACGCCTTCGCTCGCGACGGAGCTATCCCCGGCTACAAGCTGTGGAAGAAGGTCCACCCTAAGCTCGACGTCCCCGTCTGGGCCATCATCCTGTCCACCGTCGTCGACTGCGTCCTGGGATGCATCTACTTCGGATCCTCTGCGGCATTCAACTCGTTCACCGGAGTCGCGACTCTCTGCCTCTTGTCGTCCTACTGCGTCCCCATTCTCATCAGCACCATCCGCGGTCGCAAGTTCGTCAAGGACTCGCCTTACCCCCTCGGTCGCTTCGGATACTTGATCAACATCACCAGCATCGTCTTCATCTGCTTCGCCTCGGTCATCTTCTGCGTCCCCGTCGCCCTCCCCGTCACCGCGGAGACGATGAACTACGCCAGCGTTGTCTTCGCAGGCTTCGCAACAATCAGTGCCGTTTGGTACTTCGCCTATGCGCGTAAGAACTTCAAGGGACCCCCCATCATGGACGAGTACTGGGAGCAGGGCCCAGAGTTCTTCATGGCCGGGCGCGGAACCGGTCCCGCAGCTGTCATCGAGGCTGTTGACAGCCATTCGGACAGGTTGCAGGAGGACAAGATGAAGAAGATTGATGGGGAGCTGTAAGCTTGGGCCGCCATGGGCACTGTATTTGTCAGAGCGCTGAACTTGTACTTGATATCTGAATTCCGATGTAGGATCATAATGCTCAACAATTTGTACCTTGATATCTGTGTCGAGTCCATCAAGGTATCGCAAAGCAACCGAGCTGTGAACTCTAACGATGAGAACTGGAGCGTTCAACTCATGCACGCTAAATCCACCACATCAGTCATCCAACAAGCGTGAATGGTTTAGTGGTAAAATTCTCCGTTGCCATCGGGGAGCCCAGGGTTCGATTCCCTGTTCACGCAGGATAACTTTACGTTTTGAGTTTTGCCTCCCCAACGTAACAGCCACAAGCCACTGCCCACAACCTTCACAATGTTCCATGTTTCCGATTTCCTGGGGACTGCCTTCCCTCGGTGCCTGGTAGACGTCCAGTCTTTGCTTTCTGCATTCTACCCCAACAACAACTACACTTCCCTTCGACAATCATCCGCACTCCCCAGTATTGATTCTGTCGCACAGTTATCATCATGGTTTCGGCCCCAACATCTAACGACACTGGCGACGACCAGACAGGCTCGGTGCTCACCAAAAACATGCAGGCTCCTTCTTGGCCTCAGACTTGGCCTTCTAACAGACCCAGCACCAGTTCTAGCTCTGGAAGCCCGGTGTACGAAAGCGTGTTCGAGAAGATCTTCACAGACGGCTCCCCTACTGGTGGCCTCGTCGAGACAATCCGCCCAGTCGGCTCAGGACCTCCTCCCCTAGTATCTACGTCAGTCGGACACAAAGTTCAATCCCCCGCCTTGGGTTCGGGTCAAAACTCCCCGACGGACAGTGACCCAACAAGCGGAGGCGGCCGTGGCGATGACAACGGCAAACACAAAAACGAGCGGCATTGGCTGAACCTGGCACGAGCGCTTCCCCGTGCTCCCTTGCCGTCCTTGTAAGTTATCGAAATTTACTCCATGTTCCCCATCAGTGGCTGTGCCAATCTGGAGGATTCTCGCTGACTGAGATGTCTAGTGCCTCCTTCAACTTCAACCAAACCGCCCAGCCCTTCCATGGCCCATGGATGACGATGCCCATGGCCGACCTTGAAGCCATCGCAACAGCAAATCGGGACGCTCCCGATCCTCGTCCCATCTACCCAGCCCTTTTTTCCGAGATAGTCATGATCCGAAGGCTCTATGACAGCGCCATCCAGCATACCAATCGTCTGGTAGACCACGAGTTCATACCTTACCACAAGCTCCCGGCGACCACATCATACAAGGACTTGAGTTCAGCCACAGTCGGTCTTTCCAAGATGTCGATCCGTCGAGAAGGCTTTGCCGTAAACACCGCCGTTTCCAACCTATCTCGCGCCTTCCTGGTCAATGAACTCGCCAGCGCCGCCGTAGTCTTGCAAGGCAGACCACTGCTTCGACACCTCAGCGAGACTTGTCTGCAACGCCATCCTGACAGGTTCCACGCGGCACACGTCCAATTTCTCCTGAAACAGAACTCCATGCGGGGGTTATTCGACCCCGAAGACTCAGCAAAGCTTGTTCGCCGTCTGCAAGATAAATCAAAGCAAGTCGAGGCCCTCCGCCTGGCAGGCCTTTGCAAGGTAGCAATGTCGGATTACTATGCTGCTAGCTTCAACTTTGATGTGGCTTTGCAACTGGGAGGCTTCAAGGAAGGAAATTCCGTACGCTTCAAGAAGAAAAAAACCGCCTCCGAGGCCGCCAAGGTGAAGCTTTTACCTGTCGACAAACCGCCAAGAGGAAGTCTGCTGCAAACCCTCTGCTATCGAGGCATGTGTCACCTTGAAAACGCCGTCATACACATTTACCGCCTCTACGACTCACAGACCT